TCGCTGCCCGGGGCGGGAGGCAATCCCCGGGGCCGGGGGTGCCATGTGCCTCCGCAGCCTCGGGGGCTCTCCGTGATACTGGGGCGCGAGGGTCGGTGTCACGTTGTGCCTCCCTTGGGGTGGCTTTCGCTGGGGGGGGGGCGAGGCAAGAGTCTACCCCGGCCTTCTGGGAGGGGACCCCTGAATGTGCCATTCCCCCATCCAACTCGGGAAGAGATCCGGATCTCCTGGGTGCCCTCCTGGGAGCAAAGGACCAAGGATAGGGTATCCGTCGTATTTGCAGGGAGCACTGTCAAAGTGAGGGGTGCTCCCCCTTGTCTTCGTGTCCCATCTCGACTAACAGTGTAGCAGGAGGCTGAAGGTTTCTTTTGTAGTTAGAGGTGATGGCCCAAGATGCAGCTGCAGGGATGAGAACGGAGGCCTGACGTACAGGTGGTGTTTTGAAGAAAGAGCCATAGGGTACTTGTAGAGGAGGCTTTATACATTTCTGGGTTGAGTTGCTGGGTACTTGTGATGTCCTTTGGATAATTGGAGTCTAAGTATTTTTAATCAAGGTGTTCTGTGGGGCAGCTTTACAGAATAGCATCATGAAATTTCAGGAACTGATATGTCCAGGTTCCAGTAAATGTGTAGTATAAAGTCAGCTTGTTCCTGGTATCACCTAGTACGATTGCTTTTACATAGAAGACAAAACAATGAAAATGTTTAATGACTGCTGTGGAGAACAGAGTTCTTGGAGCATTAGCAAGTGACAAAAAGTCACTGCCCTGTAATGGTTGTGTAGTGGTCTTAGTGAATTTGCATGTTTCCTGGAAGTGAAATGATTGTAGTGGGTGTATCTTACAGGCTTTGGTAGATTCTGATCCTCATTTGACAGTTTCTAGCCTTCGTAGTAAAGATAACTTATTTTGGTGATGTTAGTGCCTTCTTCCTTTACACTTACCATCCTAGCTGAATTCGGCACTATGTTAAATACTTTCTAGGCAACTGTTGGCAGGGAAAGAACAAAAAAAATGATTGAAGGTGCTAGGAGAATTGGCTGCTGGACTGTAATGTGCTACCATCCTCTCACTGTATCGTTTAAACTTAGTGCTCGACAAGCCCAAGACTTAGTGTTGTGTTTTGCTCATGTAAGGCGCCTCACCTTACCAGTGGAGTTGTTAACCACTGTATTTGCTAGCTCTTTCAGACTGTCTTACAAGCTCTTGTTATATTCTAATGCTTTTGCAGTTGGAGGAGGTGTTGTTGTGGAAGATCAGCCAGATGTGAGTGCAGTATTGTCTGCCTACAATCAACAGGGGGACCCGACTCTGTACGAGGAATACTACAGTGGATTAAAACACTTCATTGAGTGTTCCCTGGACTGTCATCGAGCAGAATTGTCTCAGCTGTTTTATCCTCTCTTTGTGCACATGTATTTGGAGTTGGTCTACAATCAACATGAGAGTGAAGCAAAGTCGTTTTTTGAAAGGTAATTTATTTTCATTTGTGCATTTGCATTATTTTGTGTTTGCTACTTTGATTAAACATGAAAGCTATAGTAGCATAGGTTTATATATATACACACACGTATTATTTTTCTTCTCTAATGTTGAAGAGATTTGGAATCTGAAGTAATGGTGTCATGGATTACAGCAACCATTCTTAATCCTTTTCCAATCTCCTGTGTTAGAAAGATGTACAAACTACATGCTTTTGAACTGTCCATGGGCAGATTTTGAATGATAGTTATGGTGAGCTGATGGGCTCCTTGCTGCAAAAGTATCAACGAAGAGATCCTGCTTCTTTAGGGATAGATTGTGGGGTCACTTTTTAGCACTGGAAAATTGCATTGAGATGCCAAAGTAATGTACACTGTAAGTATTTATTTGCTAATGTCATAGCATGTGTATTGAAATTCTTCAAATGAGATTAAAGGAATTAATTTATGGCTAATCTGTAATCTTCTGTGCTTTTACTATGTTTCACTTCTGTATCACTTGAGAAAAAATTTTAATTTGTTTTCTGGATGCAGACCAATTATGAAATATTTCAATCCATAAGGATAACACTGTCTCCCTCCAATATGGTCAGCAAAAATGGGTCTGTAAATAGTGAAAATGTTCCCTGCCACTATTTTATAACATGGTTTGAGTAAAAATGGAAAACTGTAGACATATGTTAGCTATTACATAATGCAAGTGGAGAGTGAGAAACATATATGCTGTGAAATGTGCATATTCATATAATGAATCAGATATAAATACATCCAAGTAGACTTGCGTAATAAAAAATGCCCTGTACTTTATGATACCACAAATTAGGTTTCATTTCTGTAAACAAACATGTTAGTGTAACTACTTACTTCAGGCGAGAACCCTTTGGGTGTATGAAATTCTGTGAGGTTCCATTTGTGTGTTCTCTTAATCTTGTTTTTTAACGGTTGAATTGTCTTACTGTGTAGAGTAAGTCACTAGACGAAATTTGTTTCAGCAGAAAAATAATCCCATATGTAGTCAGTAGCTTCCAAAAGGTCCTTACATGTATGTTTCATGTTAAAGTAATGTAAATAAGTGTGCACTTAGGAGCTAATGTTTTTGTAATAAATCTTTTATCATATCTTAAATTGTTTCAATAGATTTCATGGGGATCAAGAGTGCTATTACCAAGATGACCTGCGTGTGTTATCTAGCTTAACCAAAAAAGAACATATGAAAGGTAACGAGACCATGCTGGATTTCCGAACAAGCAAGTTTGTGCTGCGTATTTCCCGTGACTCTTACCAACTCTTGAAGAGGCATCTTCAGGAAAAGCAGAACAATCAGATCTGGAACATCGTTCAGGAACATCTTTACATTGATATCTTTGATGGAATGCCTCGCAGTAAACAACAGATAGATGCCATGGTTGGAAGCTTGGCTGGGGAGGCAAAACGGGAGGCTAATAAAGCAAAGGTAGGAGGCAAAGACTGTTGCACTCTTTTACTGAACAGTTGAACAATTCTCCCTAGTTTTTGAGGGATATACCTGAGTATAGACTGACAATTGTCACTTGAGATCTTAAAAGACAGTATGAACAGAACAAAGGAAGAGAACTGTACAAATAGTTGTTGGCAGGAGTAGAGAGATCAAGATGTGTCACCGTCTGGTAGAAGAAGCTGTTGAACCCCTTTTGAGAGGTAACCTTGTATTCAGCCCGCTGAACTAAACTTAAACTAACTTATGAATTACTCTGTGGTTTTAAAATGGACACCTAACTGTTTGACTTCCTCTTTTGTATGACTTATTGCCAGTTGTTAAACTGCAAGGGCTGTTTGTGTAGATCTTGACAGTGTAGTACCACAGTACTATACAGATAAATTATGTGAGCTGTAGGGATTCTGCTTTAAGGAAGCAATAAGAGGTGGTGGGAGAACTTACAGTTGTGTATGTCAGTTGCTGGGTAAAACTGCAGAACTTGTACAACATTTGTTGTGGGCTAACCAGTAATGTATGCAGTAATATTAAACATGGCAGTTTTAAAGGGGCAGCTCTATTGCTTGGACTATTACATTGAAAAGTTTCCGTTAAAACTCTCTAGTTTTCAGTAAGAACAGCAATTACTGTTTTGTTTTATTGTGTGTTTTATTGGCTTGCAGGTTTTCTTTGGCTTATTGAAAGAACCAGAGTTTGATGTGCCTTTGGATGATGAAGATGAAGAAGGAGAAAATGAGGAAGGAAAGCCAAAGAAGAAAAAACCTAAAAAAGATAGCGTAGGGTCAAAAAGTAAAAAACAAGACCCTAATGCTCCTCCCCAAAACAGGTACTAAGGGAATGATGTGTAAAGAATTCTTGTTAAATCCAGTCTTGTCATGATAAATGTCTTGGCATATGACTCAGCATATAACCCTCTGTTTTTGCCCTTCAAGTCAATGTAGATTTCCCTTCAAAAATCTTACTCAGTTACCCACTAATCTTTTTAAGTCGTACTCAGTTATTTATCTTGTTCCACTGCCTGTCTGAAATTCTTAAAGCTACTGTCTCTTTTTCTCATCAGTTAATCTTCTATATAGTCTTTAATCTTTTTTCTAATTCTTGTTTCATAATTGAATATTGAGGTATAGGGTTGCCTGTGAAGGTTTTGCTTTCTTTGTTTAGATTAACTATATGGAAGGTGCTCTTAGTTCATAACAATGTGTGCTTCTTGTAGAATTCCTTTGCCTGAGCTGAAAGACTCTGACAAGCTGGATAAAGTCATGAATATGAAGGAAGCTGCAAGGCGTGTGCGTCTTGGCCCAGAGTGCCTGCCCTCCATCTGTTTCTACACATTCCTTAATGCTTACCAGGTTGGTAAAAGAAGAGTTTGGGTAATATGGAAAAGGGAATTGAAATTACAAACATCACTCTTAATAAAGAAAGAAGACTTGCCAGAATTGGCAAGGGTTATTAGAGTATTTGGAATAAGCATTGCAAAGTTTATATTCCAAAAAATCTTCAAAATTCTCTTTAAAGACTCCTTAAACGATTTAATGTCCGTGTTCCTTGGTTTTGCTCTAACTTTGCCATAATTCCTTCTTTCGCTTTTGTGGGGCTCTAATGTATTCTACAGAATACAGTAGATGTTTTCCAGTGTTTTGGTGCAAAACAGAACTGGTTTGTCACTACTGATTGTGCTTAATTCATATAGCTTTATTTTTAATAGTGCAAGAATTTATGTGTGTTTATGTCTATCCTGGAATAATTCCCTCTTATTTTTGTAAATAAGTTGAGTTAATTTTCTTATTAGTATTTAGGATTTTGTAATATTTGAAGTGCATCATGAAAGATACAAACAATATAAACGGATATTTTGTGTATAGGGTCTGACTGCAGTGGATATTACAGATGACTCTAGCATGATTGTAGGAGGCTTTGCTGACTCTACTGTCAGAGTGTGGTCCGTGACTCCGAAAAAGCTACGTAGTGTGAAAACAGCAGCAGGTAATTAAGACAATACTGCTTATTATGAGCATGCATTACTTGTGACAGCTGTGTTTTGCATGAACAGAGAAAGATGTCTATGGCAGGAGAGTTGTCTTTAGCAATTAGATGCTTTCACTTTGAATAAACAGTGTGTGCACAGATGTATGATTGCATCTTGTATACTACCATTAGAAACATTTTTAAAGGAATGAGAAATCTGCTTGTGTACACCTGCTGTGAGGTGGTCAGTGCATGGAGCTTGGAACTAGCCATAACTAGCATGGAACTAGCCATCTTAATTGGATGGTAGCTACAGGGTGTAGTAGACAGCTGGGTTTAGGTGATCTAGGGGAGAAACCAGAGGTACCTGGGGGAAACGTTAGGAGGGAACTCTGAGAAGGATAGAGGAGAATGTCCTGTAGCTCAACATCTATGCAGATTCATGGAAACCAGGCTTCTTTAATTCTGCTGTTTATGTAACAATGTGTTGCAATTGAAGCTAGGTACAACACGAGTGTTTCTTAATCTTGATATTTAACCAAGATGTGGTCATCATGTTCAGCAAACAGCAGCCTACAGACTAAAAGTTATTTTAAGTTGTGTGTAGTGTGCAGCTGTCAAACATGTCTGTAAAAACCGTGTTTGTGGCGTATTAACTTCCTGGGAAAAGGCGTGAAAATTTGGCATCTCTATCAAGATGTTACGGTGTTTGGAGGCTGAACAATATATGTATGAAAAATGACACATGTCAGGATTAATTTAATTTCGCTCAGTGAAGACTTAAAGAGTGATTATTTATGTAAAGCATTATTTTCACCTTTTACAATGGTAAAAAATATTTTAAATGCCACTGCATATTTCAAACTTAACAAATTCCCAGGTTCTTTGTCGTGTTCATGTCATACTTGCCTCTTTTAGAGTTAATATTACTTGTTTTCCTGTTCATGGCATTTGTCTTTGAACTTCTGACAGTTATTATGATACATATGATACATGAACTTTGAAATATTGCAGACCTCAGTCTCATCGACAAAGAATCAGATGATGTCTTGGAGAGGATCATGGATGAGAAAACAGCAAGTGAGTTGAAGATTCTGTATGGTCACAGTGGACCTGTCTATGGCACCAGCTTCAGTCCTGATAGGTAAATTAAGTTTACAAGCTAACTAGTTCGCTTGTCTTGAGTTTAATTGTATGCTACTGAATGCAAACATATTCTTAATGCAGCTTTTTCCAGAAGGTTAAAGCAATTCTTGTCTATGCAGCTTATAAGAAACTGCGTGCGAGCATAAGTGCTTATTATGCTTGGGGTGTTGGGCACTGTCAGTTCTTACTGAAATCAACTGGAGCTGAGGATGGATGCCAGCACCTTTTTTGAGGTTCAGGACTTAGATGGCAAAATAGCCCAACTTTTCTGCAAACTGTAGTTTAAGCTGGGTTTTAACTAACTGAATTGTAGACAGGAAAAATATTGTAACATTGATTGCATTTACGGTATTGCAAAACATAAAACCAGCCTGAGTAGTGTATCACACTTCTTCAAGTTTCTCATATTCTACTGAGACTTTATTTTCAAAATGCATGGGATAGTATCTTTAAAATAAGAGATTGAAAACCATTATGTAATTATGAGAGTCTGGACAGTAGAAAGGACATTTAAATATTTAAAGTTTTGCTTTTGCGTGTGTCTAGTCAGGAAATAAGCACAATGAAAACACAGCTGAGAGGTAAACTTTGTGTGGAACGTGAATATAGAGTCTATAATTATGAATTGAGAATGTAAACATGATATGAATTCTTTCAGGGAATCCTGAAATTTTGTTTAGTTATATTAAAAGACTTTTTTTTTTTTTTAAATAACATAGCACAGCAGTTTACTAGTCATTTTTTCATATAACTGGAATTCCTGAGTAAAGACCAGCTGTGTAGGTTTTTTTTTTTTTAAATTATTTTCCTCCCCTCAGTGTTGCTGTGTCATCAGAACTAGTCGTCAACATCCAATCGTCTCTTTTTTTTTGCATAAGGGCCTAGGACTGGATTCTGATTGAATTGATTGTTGTTGCTTACCCCACCAAAATGCTGATTTATATGTGATGTGCTAAACAGATGCTGTTCAGTGGACAGTTTTTCTTATCGTGGGCATCTCGCAATGTTTCTGCAATGGTTATATGGTCTGTGTGTAAGTTTGATCTGTAATATGCTATACTTTCTCCTGTGACAGGAACTACCTGTTGTCCTGTTCTGAGGATGGCACTGTCCGATTGTGGAGTCTCCAAACATTCACGTGTTTGGTGGGATATAAAGGACACAACTATCCAGTATGGGATACACAATTCTCTCCTTATGGTTATTACTTTGTGTCAGGGGGACACGACAGAGTGGCTCGGTAAGAAACTGGATGGGTTTTTTACTTGTCTGGGTCAGTTTGCGGTGGATTAACCCTGAAAGTGATTAGCTGATACACTCTAGCCTACCCTATTACTGGAAATAAATTTTATTTCATGTCAATTAAAATACCGAACAAATGTTTTAATGTAGTGGTTTTTTTTTTTTTCAACACACGTCAGATTATCTGATGACTCAACAGATGGTGTCCTCTTATATGACCATCTGATTAGAAGTATTCTCTTCCAGTTGCTTGAAAGAATATTCTTTACTCTCTCTTCTGAAAAGTATACTTTTCCAAAACAGATCCTGCTAATTCAGTAAGCTGACCAGTAAGAAGCCGCTGCATAATTACTTCCCTTTATTCCTCATTGTGCAACAGATACTGAAATTCATTAGGCTTCTTTTTATTAATAACGCTTTTCTTTTCAGTCTGTGGGCAACAGATCACTACCAGCCTTTGCGGATATTTGCTGGCCATCTTGCTGATGTGACGTGTACCCGATTTCATCCAAACTCCAACTATATTGCCACGGGCTCAGCAGACAGGACTATACGGCTCTGGGATGTTTTGAATGGCAATTGTGTAAGAATATTCACTGGGCATAAGGTAAAGGCACGTCACTCACAGTGTGAAAGTGACTTTACTTCTGTGATGAGGTTCTGAAGAGTAGCGTTCAGAACAAATATGGTTTGACTGACAATGAGAGTAGACTTAATTAACCTGTTTGGTCCCTCCTCAAATGTCTGTTTTAGGGACCAATTCATTCATTGGCATTTTCTCCTAATGGACGATTCCTGGCTACTGGAGCAACAGATGGAAGAGTTCTGCTGTGGGATATTGGACATGGCTTGATGGTTGGAGAATTGAAAGGGCACACTGACACTGTCTACGCACTCAGATTCAGTAGAGATGGGGAAATTTTAGCATCAGGTAACATTTCCTGAAATTGGCATCTAGCCCACAGGGTGGTCCTGCTTTTTCAGTGCAAGGTGATAAAATCCAGCCCCAGGTGTTTTGAGAGTGGTTTCAGGTTAGGTTACAGGAAAGCTGAAATCCTGGTAATTTTCATGTGGGCATTCTGTACGTAAGAGGGTCCTTAAAGTCTGTTTCCTTGCAGGACGAGGGCGTAAGTCTACAGTTATGAGCAAACCTGCTTTTTGAGCTTTAATTTCTGTTAGCTTGCTCCTCAGTAACTTTTTTGTAAACCTTTTTTTATTAACAAAAGAAAAGGACTTTAAACTGTTCTTATTTCTTCTTAGGCTCAATGGATAACACAGTTCGTCTGTGGGATGCTGTGAAGGCATTTGAAGATTTAGAAACCGATGACTTTACTACAGCCACTGGACATATAAACTTGCCTGAAAACTCCCAGGACTTGTTACTAGGTACATACATGACCAAATCAACCCCGGTTGTACACCTCCATTTCACACGCAGAAACTTGCTGCTGGCTGCAGGAGCCTACAGTTCACAGTAAATTGGGAAGCTGTAAGACTGACTGTGCCAAGTCGTTGCAGTGGTGACCTCAGGATGAGAGACAAGGAGGAATGTCTTGTACAGGTGGACACCGCTACTCTGTTGCAGGAAAAACAAAACTCTGTAAACTAATGCAAGCAGCGTTTCTCAGTTCTGCTATTTCCTATTTATCCACCGTTTGAAAATGCTGGGGATTGACAAGACATCGTGGCTGTAAAAGAATTGTTCATGGTGCTTTTGATAAAAATATAGATATGTGTATATGAAAATGGCTGTCTCGGAGGTGGTATTGAGCTCTGCTGAAACTTGTGGAAAGTTAACAGCCTTGGTATGTGTTCTCAAATGATTTTTTTAAAGCACTTAATTTATGGTTAGCAGATGTTTAATTGATCTCAAACACAAGCAAAAACCGTTCAGTTTCAGAAAAAAGAATGTAGTTTAGTTCACTATAGCCCGGGCTGGGTGACAGGTATGGTGAGAGTATCACAGCAACGAGCAGGACATGGCAGGAGTAGGTCCTACAGGCAGAGGCTCGTGGGGAACTGCCATGAAGTGACGTGAAGTGGGTTTTACGCATCCAAGTACCAACATCTGAAAAGATTCCAAACTCCTGTGCTCTTCTGAGGTATCAGAAACACAAATCTTGTTCATCTATTTTCACAGGTAGCCAATGCTAGAAGTGTGATAAGCAAGCAGAAGTGCAATGTGCACTTTATTTACTTTCATACTTTATTGTATGAAAAAAAAAAGGGGAGGGGACTGAGGCACAACTGAAATACCCATTATTAAAAAAGTTGTATTAGATTGAAAAACCTGCATCCTTTCTGCATAATGTTTAATGTATCAAAATGTAAAACTAGCCAAGAAATTGCAATATTATTGCAGTTAAAAGGATTGATCAGCCCTCAGTGTATTATCAGTTTGCTTTTCAAAGGCCAGCTTGTCTGCTGAAGTAACACACTGTACCCCAGTACGTCCTTCTGGACAACCAATAAAGCCCAGTGCTTTATTTCTAAGGAAGAGAAAAAACAGGCAAAACATGGGGAAGTTGAACTTCTTTCTGGGTCTTTGAACAGAAAACACCACCACCAAGGGACAGGCCCAGTGCAGTATGGTTTTGTTTTGTTGTTTTTTGTGCATTTTTAGGTGGTTTTTTTTTTTTTAAATCTGTTACAAACTGCATACAGTGTGTTTGTTGCTTCCAGTAAGGGCTTGGACACTTGATCTGCTGGCTCTCTAGTGGAAAAAAACCCAAACAAATAAAACCCCAAAAAAACCCAAACAAGACTTGACATTTCTAAAGTGAAATAACTGGAGAGCTACTTCCCTTCTCATCCCTTCTCTTACTCCTGGAGTAAAGCTATATTACAGGCATTATACATCAAAATAAAAGGTGAAAAATTCATTAGGAAGCTCACCTGGAAATTTTCTTTAAAGATAAAAGGTTAAAGCTAAATTATTACAGCCTTTTTTTGTGTGTGTAATGGTACCTCAACAACATTTCCTTGCTCTCAGTATGGCCAGTTGGATTTAAGTACAATTGTGGTGAATCAAATAAGTTACCTAAAACACAGCATGTACAGTTTTGACAGCTTAAAGAAAACACTGCCATATTCTGCCTTTGTATTTTGTACAGTTTTATACTTTTGATATTGTAATAAATACTAAAACCACATAGTTTGTGCCTATATGTTACAAGAAGGTATTTTTATTCCCTTGATGGCTGCAATGGAAGCAAGAGCAGCACTTGTCACTGTGAGCACTCTGCCGAAACAGTCAATTCAAAAACGGTAAGTTGATGACGAGGCATCGTGTGTAAATCTCATTCCAAGGGTGGGTGAGAGGTCCTAGCTAATTAGATGTATTACACTGTTATAACAGCCATTACTAATTTGGGAAGTTTACACAGCAGAGGCCATTTATGCAAACAAACTCCTAGGAGAGGAAGACTACTAGATTTATTCAGGTGGCCCAGCACGTAGAAATGGCTTTAAGATACATGAACTGGAGCGCGAGAGCACAAAGACCCTGTAATTTATCCCTCCTGTTTTTTCCAGCAACCATGCCCACCCCCTGCTGCCCTCAGTTTGGGAAGTGTATTTGCACGCTTTAGCACGAGAAGTCCCACGTTCAACCCCTGCTGCTGGCACCCTTCCAAGAAGCACAATGCCATATAATCCCATTCACGCATCAGCACTAACGCGACCTGTAAGGAAGATGCTGAGTTTTACCTGAGACACAGAAAGACACCATGGAGAATGCGACTGACAAGTTTTAGTGCTGGGCAGGTAAGAGGCTGAACATCTCTAACTGCAGTAGGAACACCTCATTTATTAAGAGGCAATGTCCAGGAAAAATAAACGCTGTTTATGCACATGCAGAATTATAAGAGCTTAATACCAGCAAAGCAAGCCATTTTCTTTCTGGCAGTCACCTCTGCAAGAGAGGCCAGTAACAGAAAAAGCTCAAACACCAGGATTTGATCGTCTACTTTAGGACGTTTTCCATCAAAACCAAACAGGTTCTATGCAAAATACAGACAACTGAGGCAGAAGTTGTAATCTGCATTGTATTAATAATAGTGAAGAGGTCACTGTTTCCATGTAAGCTGCTAGCTTGGAATGCAAAACACGGGAGCAACCAGGTCACTGCAAACCACGTAAGCTTACTGTTATCTACTGTGACATGGAAGTGTGGAGATGCTTTGATCAGCTGTAAGCTCTATGCTGGTGTTATGGCCACACCGCTAGGTCCTTCCTAGGTTACTACCAGGTGCTCAGAACACTTCAGGATGTGTTACAACAGCAGAAAAGTTTAGTTAAGACAGTAATGACAGGAATCAGCTATTCCATCTCCACTACAAATAACTGTTTTTGACAGAGGGGGGAAAAAAAAAAAAGCAGAGTGCCACATTTATGCTTTTTTGCACCATTTCATATTTCCAATAAAACAAGTAATTATTTATATTTTATTAGCCACAACAGGTCATTAGCTTGCATTACAGACGTGGATTGAAGGTTCAGACATGCCAGCAACCTGCCAAGAGAAGAGAAATCAGACATAGCAAGTCTTGCACAGTGGCACTAGTAACTGAGCATCCCCCTTCCCCAAGCCCAAACAAATTTAATCACAAGCAGGCAAATTTCAGCATACCCAGGAAGAAATTACTGATGTCCCTTTGACATACAACGATGCTCAAGCTTATTGTTTTCTACCCCTTTTTGCAGACTATGAAGACAGCCCATAGGTTTTTTTTCAAAATGCCATTTCAGTGGAAACTTTGTATTTGAAAGTGACTCTAGAATTTTGTAACACTTGGTTGTTGTATACAAGTCCAATCGCTTCTATATAGGCCTTGCACAATCAAGTGTGCAGTATATACAGTTCTGTTGTATAGCCCTCCTTTTCTCTGTTCGAAGGAAGGTTTTGACAGACTGTGTTCATCTTTGCTTGGAATTCTCTAATACAGCTAAGAAATAAGTCCTCAAGTACTACTTTTATTATTTCAAGAATCTACAAAGCAACAGTTACCCCTATTTTACAGCAAAAGGGTAGACTACAAGCACCTAACAGCTGTAGGCAAAGCCTGATACATCTAGTTGCAACATCCTTCCATTCCTCCTTCCTTTCTTACTCTTCCTCCCTGCATGATGCCCCTAATCCCATTTACCATGTCAGAAGAATAAAAATCCATGCTTTCTGCATCCCTCTTCAACAAAATATTTCATTCAGAATGTCCCCAAACAAGCTGATGCTATAGTTTAATTGAGGTTTAAAACGATGAATACAAAGTTCACATGCCTGTTTTTCTCTCTCGCTAATTATATTGTATTGTTAGCAACTTGTCTTTTGTCACTCTTTCTGGGCTGGCATTGAATCATTTTGGTCCTGGAAGAACACCAGTCACTTACCATTTATTTATTTGCCACAGCAGGAGTTTGCTTTTTAGGTCTAAGTTTGAAATACAGGATGAGCATTGCAATGCTTGTGTACGTTGCTATCACATACTGGAAAACATAAAAGTTAAGTTTAGTTCAATTCTAAAATCCAGAAAACACCATTACACTAGACTACAAAAGTTAGTACACATCATACATACATTCCTCCTGCCTGTGATGGTATAGGAATTGAAATACTTCTGAAATCCAGTGAACTGGTGTTGAGATCCCGAGTCATGGCCAGCCATGGTTGCTTGTCCTAACAAGCAATACAGGACAGTTAACAGGTTTTACAGTCAGTTGGACACGATCGATAGAAAAACCCAACTAATCTCTACATTGAACTTAATATTTCCATTGTCAGCTGTTAAATCTGCTTTCAGGACACACAACAGACAGTGGATGTATATAAGGAGCAGGCACATTCAGAACACTGTATCTTAAGGTACAAAACAGGTGACATGAGCAGATAAGGAAATGAGGATTCTGAAGGGAAGAACAACTATGATATTCAGCATTCATTCAATCGAATTTAAACATGGAAAAAGAAGTCAATGTGATGATGAAGACAAGGAAAACTCCAGAAAGCACTTATAAAGAAGAGACCTGCCCCTCCTGCCTATGCAAACCGTTCAACAGACGCAACTCTCTACCAATTGTTCAGGAATCTGCAATACCAACTTAAGGTAAATCTTTACTAGTTCAGCTAAGAAACAGCTTAAATTACATACCCAAAAACTCGGTGACAAGATTCAGACTAGACCCCTATTCTGTTTTGCGATTCAAAATGCTGCTTTACAACTTTTACGCCATATTAGAGTGCAAGCGTTGTTAATAAGAACTGCCTTGCCCTTAGTTGTTCATTTCTATTGTATCTTACTTGCCAACCCTAGTATCCACAGATCTAGATACAGATATACTTTTTTTTTTTTTTTCCAGTTAGCCTTCTGCTAGGCCAGTAAGTTACTTGAGTCAGCTACAGAGCCTCAGAAGTGCTTTCACAAGAATAACAAAACCACTCAGTACATAAGGGCACACTTTTGTATTTTGTCTGTGACCAGACCAAAATTTCAAGTCTACTGTAAGAAGTTCATTAACACAAAAGCCTGGTGTGGCTACAGTAGCATACTTTCACATTCACTGAATGCTGGAGATTGCATAGTCCAGCCCCAACCTGCTCAAAGCAGAGGCAGCCACAGCAGCTCACTCGGGAAGATGCCCAGCCAGCTTTTTAATATCTTCAGAAATGGAGACTCTACAACTGCTCTGGGGAACCTGTTCCAGTGTTTGATCACCCTTATAATAAAAGGGATTTTCTTTCTGATCTTTAGAAATATATTTTTCTAACGTTTAAGGGGGTTTGATATTTAGGACAAACTTTTTTTGTTTATCTTGAAACTCACCTCAAAAGAAGCACACGTGCCATATGGTTACCTACCAAACCAGGCAGAGGCTGTAGCCAGCAGTACTCCAGAACAGGGATACAAGAAACTGCTACAGCAGTTCATTAACACAGCTCTTATGCTGACCCACTCCAGTAACGTAACTTTGGTGTGTAATCAGGTAAGCGTGCCTGTAACTGGGTTGACTGTAACAGCTAAAAATCTTAACGAAATAACCCCTCTAAACATCTGCCATACATGACTTGGAAAGCCAAGGTCATCTTTTCTTATGCCTGACCAATGCAAAAGCCTGAAGAGGCGTCACTGCGTCCTTCGCTCAGACACCAGACATCACAAGTTTTCTCTTTCGGAA